CCCATAGTAATTCATCCCCCACATAGTAATTCATCCCCCACACAGTAATTCATCCCCCACATAGTAATTCATCCCCCATATTGTCTCAATTCACTTACCTTTGCTCCGCGCGTTCCTCTCGCTGTGTTCCCGCTCCGTTCTGGTCTTCAGGGCGGACTGAGAGAGGAGAGGAGTTCGTCACTCTGCCCCGCCTACATCCTGGCTGCCCCACCTACATCCTGACAGCCAATGTTCCACGCTCCGCGGGCCGGATTTTTGAGGAGGGAGGGGAGCGGGCGCCCGGCACACAGAAGAGCCGCATGTGGCTCGCGATCCGCGGCTTGCCGACCACCTGGTGGGCAGTGTGCTCCGGAGCCGCAGCAAAGATGAAAAAGAGCCGCATGCGGCTCTGGAGCCGCGGGTTGCCGACACCCGTCCCAGACAGTTTGAAAAAATACTACATACATAATCCATTGATTATTGGAAAAACAGATATTAAAATATATGTCAATATTCCTCAAGACATTATATCAAAAGCACCCCTGTCATAAATCTTGTTCTGATTTTCCTAAGATAAAGCCCCCCAAAAATGGTTTGAATCTAATTATTTCATTTAGGCCCGAGTGCATATTGGCCTTCAAAAACATTAATCCATTCATTCTCTTTTTGTAACAAGATTTTATTAAAATCTCCTCCTCTGTTGCTGGAATATACCCTAAGGCCCTTAATTTTAGTTCTGTATTCTTGTATATAACAATGTGCCTACCAATTGGTGAGAATATATTACAGCTTGCAGCATGTGTATGTTCATAGATCCTATGCCAAAATTCACGCATTGTTTTGCCCTCATAGAATGCTCCACATGGGCAAGACAAGATGTACATGACCCCTTTTGTGGGACAATCCACATCATGTTTTGGGTAGAATGTCTTTCCATATGGTAGCATATGATGTCTTTCCAAGCAGATAAATTGACAATAATTGCATGCCCTCAAGGAAATGTACCCTCTCTTGGATGGCTACTCATAGATTCACTTGAAACAAAATTACTTTTAACAAGCTTATCTCTCAGTGAGAGCTCTTTTATATGTAATCTGTGAAATATGCTTGGCGATTTTTGGATTTGATGTTAGTAAGTGCCAGTAGCGATTTATATATTTCTTAACCAGAAAATATTGATTATTACAGGTTGTTATGATTCTCACAGTGGGATTATTTTTAATGTTTTTAGAAGAAGACCCAAATAGTAAATCAGTATGTGATTTATTTAGGGCTCTATTAAATGCCGTACGCAGGTCCTGGAATATCCTCTCTCCAGCGGTCTTTGTCTTAATCAGCAGCAGCTATCCTAAAATTAGCTTCACTTTGGCAATGCCTTCTAAATCTCAAGTACTGAGAGTATGGGATGGGATTAAGGAGAGATGTAGGATGAAAACTATCTGCTCTCAAAATTGTATTACCCGCCGTGGGTTTTGCTATATAAGTTACTCGACAATGTCTAATCAGGTGCAATCTCGGCTTCAACTTCCAAAATTATTGAAGAAAAGTTCCATGTGCTGCATTTTTGGTTCTTTCGTCGACATTTTAGAATTCAAGTAAATTTCCTTTGGCTCTATCCTATGTTCTTTAACTTACATCTTCAATCTCTACCTCTCTTCTTGCATTTTCTCCAACTCTCTAAAACACACACTAGTCGCCCCCATAATTAAAAAGCCTTCATTGGACCCTACCAATCTTAACATCTCCTTGCTCCCCTTTTACTCCAAACTCCTTGAACGGTCTGGTCTACAACCAAAGGAGCGACCACCTCATTGAGAATAACCTGGATCCCCTTCAGTCTGGAGACTGCTTCCTTAAAACTCACACATGATCTACTAATCATAAACCAGCAAAAGCAAATGTTGCTCTGGGAGTAATGCTCTGCATTCTCATGGTCTTATTGCCTGAGGCTTCTCAGAACAGCACACTCGTATCTCTTACTTGCTCAAAAGAAAAAGACATAAGCATGTAGCGGGTTGTCTCTGACAGTGATCCCCATCTGCGAGAACAATCACCGTGAGTGGTGCTGCCACCTCCAAAGCCCCGCGCTACTCATCTCCTCATTTGATATCACCACACACAGCAGTTGTTCTCGTGGTTGGGGATCATGGCCAGAGACAACTGTTACTTGCTTATGCCTTTACACTTGTGTCAGTGACGGCATTTTACAATGTGAGTGTTTTTATGAAGATTTATACAATAAATTAACCTGAGGGTTTTACGCTATGGAAGCTCCCCTCTTCTCTTCCTTTTCAGTAAGTGAGGGATACAAGTGTGCTGTTCTAAAAATCCTGAGGCAATAAGACCACGAGACTGGAGAGAGTTACTCCCAGAGCAACATGCATTTTTGCTGGTTTATGATTTGACCGGCATATCGCTCTGGTGAGTTTATGCAATTCATTTGGTGGTGGAAGAGCACTGGTTACAAGAAGATTCAAAAGTTTACTTTGCACTGGTGGACTGCTTTCTATGTTTTTTATATTTTATGGACTCCATAATTAATAAGGAGTTATATATAAGTTATATGATATTTTTTCATTCAAATAAGTTTGCATATGTTCATTTGCATAGTGATTGTTTGCACTTTATTTTTGCATTATTGTAAATTTATTTCTCTATTCCAGCATATGGCACATTTATTTTCATATGAAGATGCTGCATATATTTTGCACATTGCTTTTATGCACTTTATAAGGATATAAGTGGGGATATTTGATGATCCCCTGCACTTTAGGTGAATACTAGCGAATGTTGATTATTCATTGCTCTTTTCTGAGCATATTGCACTTTCATCAATACATGGGGGTGTTATATATAATTTGCATAATGATTTTATGAGCACTATAAAGATACTGTATTTTTAGAGAGTATTGTATGCAGAATAGAGGTTGTGGTTTTATATGAGTGACATATATTGTGGTTTTGTGGCTTTAGAGTGCTGTTATATATTTATTAGTCTTGATTGGTGAAGGTTACACCATTTAGAATAGCAGCTTCCGAGCGATTACACTAGTATTTTTCAGTTTGAAGCACTTTTTTGCCTGTGGTGCAGTCCGTAATAATATATTTAGGTCAGTCTCCACACGCATCGCTAATTTACTCACAGACAAATCAGTCTGGATGTCACACCACTTCCTTAAACCCAAACTATCCAAAACCAAGCTCATAGTATTTCCTCCCCATGTGCCTCTTACCTCTGTGTCAAGATCGATGTTACAGCTATCAACCCATCCCTGCATGCTAAGGTACTAGGTGTTATCCTGGATTGTGAACTCACCTTTCAGCCCCATATTCAATTGCTGTCCAAAGTTTGCCACAAACTACGCAACATCTTCAAAATACACCCCTTCCTAACTAATGATACTATGAAGTATCTAATTTGCTGCCTGGTCATCTCTCTCCTCGGCTACTGCATCTCCCTCCACATTGGCCAACCTTCAATCCGTCATGAATGCTGCTGCCAGACTTATCTACTTTACCCACCGTTCAGTGTCTGATACCCCTCTTTGCCAATCCCTCCACTGGCTTCCGCTCACCCCCAGCAGATTAAATTAAAAATACTAACAACTTGCAAAGCCATTCACAACTCTGCCCCCGGCTACATCACTAACCTATTCTCTAAATACCAACCAAATCATTTGTTCCTCCAAGACCTCCTACTCTCTAGCTCCCTTGTCACCTCCCATGCTTGCCTCCAGAACTTCTCCCAAGTCTCTCCTATCCTTTGGAACTCCCTACATCACATCAGTCTATCCAACTATCTCCTACTCTGTCCACTTTTAGACAATTCCTGAAAACCCTTCTCTACAGAGACGCCTATCCTGCTCCTGTCCTGTTTTTTGGGCTCCTGAGTTGTTAGACTCTATAGATTTTACATAGTCTGCCATGAATCTAGTTCCAGTTATTGATTGATAAAACCAGTTTTCACCAAAGTTGTATTATGGAAAAACATGGACAGTAAATAGTGAGGCCAGTTATACTTCAATCTGTGTCTACCAGCACAGGTCAAATTTCAGATTAACATATCAGTGAACGAAAAAATGGCAGTCACTTTATAAAGTTCCCACTTAACACAGGTAGTGCACTCAACAAAAAAATTCCTAGCAGTTTGGGTCTATCTTTCAACAAAGAGAACCTCTCTGTTAGGCATATTTATCTCACGCAGTTTTACTGTAATCTGTGAAAGCACAAAGAACATAACCAATCTCTGCAAACTGCATTTGAGTATCAGTTTTCAGGAAATCTCGGTAAACATTACACATTAACATGTCTCTGCATACTCAAATATCTCATTTATCACACATTTTTTTAAGCCACTCTGTGTTTTTAAACTTAATGGCTGATCTGGCCTATAGTTTTACTTTAAGTTATTGCAAATTATGATATCCCAATGATGTATCCCTTTACATCGACAGTCATTCAGTTTACATTACTCCTTCATGGATATAGTTTTGCTCTTCTTAGGACCTATCTTACATCATACACAAACAACTCAAAGGGAATCCTAAGGTTGCCTGCCAATCCAAAGTCTATAGTTCACTTTATCTTGTATGTTATATCTGAGCTGGAAGAAATTTCTGGACCTTTTGAATTGATGTGCTACACTTGGCTGCATTCTGACGTCTCATGCCATAAGAAAAATGATAAGTGAGTCTGTAAATAGACATATTTTGTCAGTCATAGAGTTTAGCTGGAGGGAAAACTCTACTGCATATAATTCACTGCACAAGTTCCTGGATTCCCATCATTGATGTCCATCAAATGTTTCCTTCTACTTGTAGAAATGTTTGGCACAGGTACAACTGTTCCTGTATAAACCCAGCTATATTAACATAGATAGTCCAAACTACTATATATGCTATATTAATATTAATATTAATACATATTTATAAATTAACAATAGTGCCCAGTAACCAGTGATATATTCTCTGTGTAACATATTATTATCTTCTAATGCAGTGTTGATTTTGTCTCTTCTACAGCATCATCATGACAACGTCCTCTACAATTCTAGCTTTGATATTAATGCCACTGTGCCTGTGGATCTACAGCAGGCCCTGGATTAACACAACACTGGTCCAATTTCTTCCATTTGGAGCCATGAGCCTGACCCTTTGTAGCACTCTTCTGCCTATTGGCCTAGGGGTTTTTATACGTTATCGGTACAATAGGATTGCTGATGTTGTGCTTAAGGTAGGCTTCCAAATCACAGAATGCAACTTAAAATGTCAATAACTGAATATGACAAACAGCAACGAACAACTGGATGTTTCTGACATGTTTGCATAGTTAAATTTTGCAATTAACTCAATAAAATCTTCAACAATGTTGGAAGATTTAAGGTCCAGCAAATAGGTGCCGTATAAATTAGCAATCATATAATAGATGGAAATGAACTGTCCTTCCTCTAGAGAAAATGTTTCTGCCAGGGAAAAATGTGAAAAAAGGCTTCTAAAGAAACTAATTACAGTCACAAAATTCATCATTGAAACATAGTAAACTGCAATAAATTGTGTTTGTGAATGAATAGGAATGTCTCTACCTACTCTAATAATGTGTCCCTCAGTGCTGTGCCTGCAGATTTTTCCAAGGTGCACTACAGGTGCTCTTTAAAGTCTGCATGCCCCCTACCCGTAAATACAAAATCACGTATATATAACCCATTCCTGCCCAGTGTCATTAGTACAGTGTCAGTGCTTTTTAGCACTGATCACTGTATTAGTGTCACTGGGGATGTCAGTGGCAGTTAGTCAGTTACCCCAGTGTCAGAATGCCCGTTGTAGTCCCACAGTCCCGCAATAAGTCGCTGATCACCGCCATTACAAGTAAAAAAAAAAATTCAGTATATATACCGCTATAGCTTTAACGTAAACCAATTAATTTACACGTATTTTTTTTTAGCAGAGCCATATAGCAGGATATATTTTGGACTAAATTTATGACGAAATTTGATTTATTAAATTTTTTATTGGACATGTTTAACCATTAGCCGCCCGGCCAATGGCCGCTTGGCGGCTTCAGATGTGTCTCTTCACTCCGGGTGCACGCCATCCCGCACATGTGCCGTTTGCGCTAATGCAGAGCGGCGCAGCAGTGCGATCTGTCACCAGCCGTGCACCTCGGACACGGCCGATGACAGATCCGAGTACCGGCTCCCGTTGCTGGTACCATGTGACCTGCTGTGACCAATCACAGCAGGTCACATGACAGTTGTATACAATGGATGGCTTCATTCATGATGCCATCCATTGTATACTAGTGCCTAGCTGTGAATGGTCACAGCTAATCACAAAAAAAAAAAAAAAAAAAAGCTGAATGAATCGATTTCATTCAGGTAAATGCTTGCTTATAGCAAAGTAATTCTTTGCTATAAGCAAATTGTGTAAAAAAAAAAAAAAATACTGATCACTTCCCCAAAGTAGTACAATGTTACTATGGTAACATTGTACTACTTTGGTCATAGTAAAATATGAAAAAAAAATCTTAAAAAAATAAAACAAAATGTAATAAAAATGTAAAATATAATAAAAAAATTAAAAAAAATTAAAAAAAAAATATATATATTTTTTTTTCATACTGTCACCAGTCAGTGTCGCTGTTCACTGCCATGCCAGTTATATGATGACGCTGTACTGCACTGGTGACAGTATGTAAAAAAAAAATAGTGAAAATAATTTTTTTAATTTTTTAATTTTCCGAAAAATTATGACAAAAAAATACAACTTCAAAAAACTCGCCATGCCTCTTATGAAGTACGACGGACTGTCTACTCTGCAAAGTGGGGTCATTTGGGGATATCTGTACTATTCTGACATTCTTGGACCTCAAGAAATTAGATCGGCTGTCAGTACTTCAGGATTGATCAATATTCAGATCTATACCATAGTTTGTGAACTCTATAACTTTCCTACAAACTAAATAATACATCCTAATTTGGGTTATTTTCACCAAAGACATGTAGCAGAATACATCTCTGCCTAAATTTATGAAGAACAATTATTTATTTGTAAACTTTTATAACAGAAACAAAGAAAAATGTGTTTTTTTTTTTTTTCAAAATTTTTGGTCTTTTTTTGTTAATTTAGCAAAAAATAAAAACCCCAGCAGTGATTAAATACCACCAAAAGAAAGCTCTAGTTGTGTGAAGAAAATGATAAAATTTTAGTTTGGGTACAATGTTGTATGACCGCGCAATTGTCATTCAAAGTGTGAGAGCGCTGAAACCTGAAAAATGGCCTGGGCAGGAAGGTGTAAAATTGCACGGTATTGAAACGGTTAATAGCAAAAAGTATAAAATATTGTGGGTTTTTTTTTTTTCAAAATTTTCGGTCTTTTTTTGTTTATAGCGCAAAACATTAAAAACGCACAGGTAATCAAATACCACCAAACGAAAGCTCTATTTGCGGGGAAAAAAGGTCATAAATTTAATTTATGTACAATGTTGTAAGTGGGTAAAATGGCGGTAAATTATTATTCTGGTACAATGCAAGTTATTTACAAGTGAAATACATTTTTTTTTAAATTTTGTGCTTTTTTTAAATGGGAAATTTCTAAATATATGTTAAGGCTCCATGCAAACTGGGCTTAAAAATGCCAGTTCCCCTGGCAGAAAAAAAAAAAATGCTCATATAGAGCATTTTTGTACACGTTAGACGTGTTTAGGAGTGTTTAGCGTTTTTCTGCCAGAAAGCTCCAATCAAAAATGCAAATCAAAAGGGTTGCTTTTTCTGCCCCTAAACGCTGAGCTTAAAATATGCTTCTAATTGTCCTATTGTGCATGGACACATACTGTAGAATAACATTAGCTGCTTCTACAGGCAAAAAGGCTAAACTCCTGTAGAAACAGCGTTTTTTAAGCATGGAGCCTACATGTGTAAAAAATATTAACAAACAAAACCAAAAAAAAGTTTACGTATTATTAAGTGTTCTTGCATGGCAAGACCACTTACTGTTATCTCACATATATATTCTTATTATTATAGCCAAATTTACCACCCTAACTCCTCCCACAGTTTTTACACTACATAGACAGTAATATACCGAAACGTGTGGATTGTTCCTGATTGGTGTGCTATTACTTTGTGGAACGTTTCACTGAATGGTTCACGAAATATAGGCGTGTTTGTGATGAAATTGGTCCCATAGGAATGAATGGCGGAATGTTCATAACTAGAGTGGGAGCTGACAAAAGCTAGAGTGTGAGCTGAAAAATCAGGACATGATTTCTAAACTGCCATCACTCCCTCATTTTCAAGCCCACCTACACAAATCTTATATCAAAACGTTAAGCTATCCCTGCTGCCACTAAAAAAGTCCATGGCTAAGCCATAGTCCTGATAGTTTTCACAATATGACCATTTGTTTGCAACTCACGCCGCCCATTGAAATTCATTGAAACTCCACTCTAGCCACCTCAAATTTGAAGGGCAATTTCTAAACTGCAACTGTGCCTTCATTTTTTTTAATTCAGAGATATACTATGCATCAACATGTAGGTCTGGGTCTTGTAATTCTCACAATATAAAGCTCTGTGGTGTAGGATTTATAATTTTTAAACTACAACCGTTTGAAAATGGCAACCGCCAGTGAAGTGAGCAAGTTGGAGCAGTTTGTTTTTAACCGCTCTTCTCTGCCCTTGCTGTAGAGTGAGTTGCCATAGGAACCCAGGTGTGTGAGCAGGCAGCAGAGTGACAAGCCACTCCACCCAGTTACTCCGCCCACTCCAGTTGTAGACTACTGGTGGAGGCAAGAACACTTCACACAATTTCCCCAGAAATTGTAGATTTTCTAGTTAGTTAATAAAATAGAAACGAAAAAGAAAATCAGCTGGAAAATAATAGTTGAATAAAGAAAGCGAATAAGGAGTTAATTAGGGCTGATTAGAGTAAACTAAGTGTTAATTTAAAACTTTTTTATTTTTCTTTGCTTGTGAGGTTGCTTTAACTGGCATCATCTTCAGATCATCCATTTGATCTGCAGAGGAATGAACAGAAAAATACAAATGTAACAATATATAACTTTGTATCTTTATATTATGTGGTCTGGAGCAGTGTTTGTAAACAATCTAACACTGTCAGACTGTTTTTTAACAGCTAGAACTTCTCACTTGACAACTAGCGACATAACTGTACATTGCTGGACTTGAGGTGGTTATACAGGGATAACACCCGCAGCTGAAGGCATCATCTTGGTATCGTTTTTTAGAGCCAATGGTAAGCTCTTTTGTAAAAGCAATTTGAGCGGCTAACTCTCTGCTGGATAGCTATTAGAAGCAGCAGGAGGGGACTCCCCCTCCCTCCTGACACCCTCCCGAGCTGTCCTGTCCCATCGAGATACCCAATCAACCAGCTGGAGTTTTCGCAGGCTGATTAGCTCATTTCGGCCCTCATATAAGGAACTGGAAGCAATGACCTTACATCACTTCTGATTTACCTGGATGTATATGGCTCCATTTTAAAAAAATAAAAGCATTTGTTCACACCTATCTCTGTGTGATCAAATGCTTTTAAGGGCAGAGGAGGGATTATTGATCCCAGGTCTCTCCATAAAGAGTAACTGTCACATGCCTATTGCTGTCACAAGGGATGGTTACAGTCCTTGTGACAGCAATAAAAATGCTAAAAAAAAATTTAAGTGACAGTGTAAAAATAGATAAAAATTAAAAAAAAATTAAAGTGCCCCCATTCCCTCGTGCTTACGCACAAAGGTAAATGCACACGTCAATCTCACATACACACTGAGACGGAGGGTAAGCGGGACAGAACACACAAGGCAGATGGCAAACACTTAAAGCTTTATTAAAACAGACAACAGTCACTCAATGGGGAGTAGTGCAGGGAGAAAGAGTCCAAATACCTGTAATCCAGCCCCGGTGGGCAAAGTTAAAGTCTCTACAGCAATTTGTAATCCAAGACGCTGTTCATAAGCAGTCAGATAGCACAAGGGAAGCATGCATTCATGCAAACTGATGCGTTTCAGGCAGGGCTGATGTAGCTTCTGGGGTCCCCTTCCTCCAATGGAGCTCAGGCAGAGCCGGGGGGCCACTAGAGTCCAGCTGGACCCCTCAGTGGTTGCCCAGCAGAATGGCTCTACAAGAGAGACCAGCACTGGCCTCTTAAACCCTCTGAGCAGGACGAGAGGCGGAGGGGGGTCATTAGCAGGTGACAATGAAGAGAATGGACAGGAATGGAACT